GTACCCGCTTTCTTGACCATCATCATGATCCCGCTCACCTATAAGTGAGTTCACACCGGCTGATCAACATGAACTTCTACTAATGATCGTTCGTAGCATCGCGTACGGTGTCATTGCGGGTATCTTCACCTACCTCCTCCTCAACGGTATCCCATGGGCGATCGGAAAGGCCACGAACTACCGCCTCATGCCGCCCTCATATAACCAGGCTGAGACCTGGGTCGTGCCGCCCGGCGGAATCGTCCCGCCGTGGGCCAAGTACCTCGTCGAGCGCGTCACTGGCCGCCAGTCGACGGGTACCGGCAACACCAACTTTGTCATGGAGGAGCAACATCATCAGCGCAGCTTCGGCAGCCAGAGCATCGCCGAGGAGCCGCATAAGGTTGTCGATATGACCGATGAGAAGTAGGCAGCAAATTAGGGTGTACATCATGCATTACTATCGCTTGTTGTATGTTGCGCGGACCCGGATACCCTTTCACATAGATGTAATTCAGTTCGTATCTTCTCTCACTGTTGGATATCCTGTCGTTCTTTCCTCGGGCTTGTTGTCTTGTTGTAATCTTCTTCACGGCGCCGCAGCTCATGGCTTCGTTGTTTGTGCGTAATCCTTCGACAATGTACTACCCCACACTTGACCGTCATGTCCTACACTGCGGTGTGTTTCTAAAGCTGGCGAGTTGTCCGCTTCGTGAGCGCAAACTTCTCCACGACTGCAGCAACGATGTCCCTCCACTCAACCATCGCCCCGACGCCAACGTCCCCGCATGCAAGGCCCTTTGATATTGGACCGACAACTGTATATCCAATGACATCCCGTATGATTGCCAGATGCCTGGAAGTGAGAGGGTGTTGGTACATCAGCGTGTTCATCGCAGGATACAGAAACGTTGGGGTGTCCGGAGAAAGAGCTCGTAAAAGAGATGTCTGAAGCGGTATTCATCAGTCAAGCACAGAAATACGACCTTGACCATGATACATACCGCAAGGTTGTCGCATAGTCCACCGGCAATCTTGGCTAGCGTATTCGCAGAGCACGGGGCGACCAGCACAACGTCGGCCCATCGTCTTAGTTCAATATGCAATATGGGATCGCCGATCTTGTAGTCAGACTAGTTCAATCTCAGTTCATGGTCCTCGTACAGAGTGAAGTTGCGTACAAGCCACTCATCCTCGTCTACCCATACGTTTACGCCAAGCTTCCGGATGGCGGCAGGGTCAAAGAAGGTAAGCGAAGCCTTGGTCGCGACGACCTCAATATCCACTTTGCCGTACTGCTTATGTGCACTCAGACACTACGATGTTGGTACTGAATGCAACAAGCGCACAGTGAGTAGCTCCTCGACTATGAGTGGTGCTTTGACTGATGCAACGCTCCCGGTGGTCATGAGAAGAATGTGGGTATAACCTTCGCGTCGGCTAGACTCGGCCGTGAAGAAGCGTTTGGCCAGAGCACGCTCAGTATGTGATGCGTTGAGCATGACAAGGTGGAGGGGAGTAGTCTGTCGTGAAGCTTAGTAGGCCAAGTCTACGCCGAAGTGATGATGGTTTGTGGCGAGTGGCGATGACAAACCGACGGGTCACTGCGAGTAGTTCGGGCCGACGGGCCGACATACCGAAGACGGCCGTATTATATTATCGTAGTACGTGTAAGTTGGGAAAGGTCCATATCTCCGTATCATACAGCAGTATATTTTCGACAGTCATCGGGTCACGGCGGCTGATCCTCACCGTGAGGCGGTATCCTGGCTCGCAGATGCTCGTAGTCGTACATCTCGCCTGGAGCTACCATCGCATCCTCCTCCCGCCCACGTTCGGCATCCGCGACGTATGTATGGCCACTCGATGGACCAGCGGAGCTGCTCCCACTGGCAGTTGGGGTTCTGAACGTGAATTCCTCCAGCTCGTACTCTTCCTCCTCTCGTGCAACCTCATATGACAGCTCACGAACGCGTCCGTCGGATTCGAAGGTAGGTGCGGCGTGACCGTACTCGGACTCCTCACGATTGAAGGGAGGGATCTTTTTGCGTACAAGACCCAATGCAGCCGCTGTCCCTCCAACGGTCCTGTCCGCCCATATCTCCCGGTTCTCGTCACCAGGCGATCCAGCTGGACTCAACCCGTGCAGATCCGAACCCCGTCTGTACTCCGCAGGCGAGACGAAACGAATCTCGCTCCCAACAGCAGCGCGCATGCGATGATCAGAAATGCGCGCTGCCGCGACCCGGAGGTGGATGACCAGGCGGCACACAAGCGTGGAAGACAAGATGTTCGTGAGCGTTCCGAGCGTCCCCTTGATCACGGGCGTAGCGGTCTGTGTGGGAAGAGACAGCAGTCAGCAAACGTGCTCCGATACAGCAATGCCATTCAAAGACGGGAGCATTTCATATCGGAGGGTTTGAGTGGGAGTGCAGGGATGGGCTAGGATGGGAGCGGAGTGTGAAGGCGTCTATAGCAGGGTGACTCTTTCGAACGAAGCCTTGGGTGCGAGAGGCAGATAGAAGACGCATGGCGTCGTATACAAGTGGCGAACCGAGATAGGAAGAAGGTGCGACGGTGGGAGAGTAAAGAAGCCAACGTGAGAGACAAGAGATACGCACCAGATAGCACACAATGTTGGCGACATTGGACAAGCTGATGGCGAGAAAGTAAAGGGCGCCGTCGAGAAGAAGTGTATGCCAGAGGGTAGCCGGAGCACGCCAGTGCTCTTGCAGGCCCTTGGCAAGTAACAGTACGAAAACGGTGACCTCGTATATGAGCATGCCAGCCCATACAGCCGCGATGCGATGCGACCTGAAGACACATGTCAGCGCGAGAACTAGCGGAGCAGCCAAGTATATGCGCACTCTTTCTCGGTGACAAGTGGGTTGCAACCGGGAAGTGTCGTGCCTGCGCCAACAAGAAACTCATTGCGTGGTTCGCCCGCGGGTCGGATGATGAGAGCCCACTACCGATACGTCAGTATTCCATTCAAGCTTCCACAAAGACGAGCAAACATACTATAGCGAAGATGACTATAGCCACGATGATAGTACAGAGGAATACAAGAACCCAACGCTTCCGATAGACAGCGTTGAGCCGCAAAAGGAGCGTGAGCGCAGAGAAGAGTTGAAGCACGCAGATGAGGATCTGGTGGATTGTCTGAAGCTTCGCGCAACTGCGCCATATGCTTCAGCTTCTTGATATATATCGAGCGATAAGACGAAGCTTACGTCTGTCGAACGCACGTTTGCTCAGCAATCCAGCCAATGAAACACAACATAGGGGCACACACCTCTGTACCGACGCTGAGAGAGAAGAGCTCTACAGCGATGGCGATATGACCTAGGAGAGCGCCGTAGCGCAAGACAAAGAAGCAGGACATGGGCAGTATGCCGCGCGCAGACGGCTTGCGCCAGAGATGTGTGATCTCATCGGGAAGGGTGCAAAGCCAGTCGTAGTACAGGATGGTGAAAGCCAAGAGGGAGAGGGCCCAGTTGGACCATAGCGCGCCCGCGCTCGCAGGTAACACCGAGAGCGAGGACGGCGTCGTCGACATTCAGCGCGCTCGCGCCATCTACGTCGTGGTGGGAGGGAGGGGAGGCTCTTCTCGATCATGTCCAGGGGGTATATATCCCGGTCTTATTTCTAACTGGTTGTCTCGACCGAAGCCGTCGTGGACCTGCGGGCGTCTTTAATTCGTCCCCTGTAAAGCCTAATCCGGCTAGTCGGTACCTTTGATCCGTTGTCGCCTTCCGTCCCTTTCTTCGATACAACCCGCGATGTCGATATATAGGCTGATACATACCGTACTCCGGCTGCCTACTGGCCTGTATGAGGTGCTGCGCTGTCGCGGGCGTTGTCGATCGCACGTTTGACATTTACCCTAAGACCTAGCCGCTGACAGTTCACTAGTCCGACGATGTCACCCAGCCAGGATGCCCATGCGTTCCTCCGCCTCATTGCGTTGGTTGCCTTCTCGGGTCGTTTCTCGGGCGTCGGGATCGACGGTACCATTGCACAGCAATATGTCTCTCCGACTATCGGCTCTTCCGTCGACGTCGACTAACACGGTAAACCGTGTCTTAGCTGCCTCCTCTTGCATCCGCCGTGTCAATCTTCTCGATTAACGGCGCCTAATACTGAGTACATACGTTATCCTGTCACGTAGAGGTTTTAACCGCAGGCTTTATGGTGTTGCGGAACGAACTGTCCTCAGGACCCTGCGGCGTTGATCGCATTCCTACGTGGGCAAGTACGTCTGCGATGTTCGCATATCTATAGGCACGATCAGATCAGTAAGAACGTGCGCGACGTGTGCGCAACCAACACTTGAACGTACTCTCATATACTTATCCTAGCGATACAATACCAGCCTGAGAGGGGCTTGCAACTCGACAAACACCTCGACAAACACGCGTTCTATCAGCCAGTATTGCTCCTTCTAGGCATGAAGTAGATTGCTGTACGTCTGCGAATCCACGTCGTATCCTGGCTTCACCTCGAATGCGGGCGTCTCATTCGCCCACACAAGTGAAGTTCCCGTTGCGATGCTTACCGGGGTGCTATCTGTAATATGTAAACGTCAACGACAAGCGCTACTTCTCAACTTCGGACTGCACTGACCTTCCCGCCCTGAGCGCTCGGTATCATTGGCGCCCGGCCGTGCCGTTAACTCCGAAGAGCCATATACGCTAGGCTACATTTGGGAAAGGAATATCCCGGTAAGTACACCATTGAGTGCATCAAAGAATAGCGGGCGCTTAACTCCCTAGCGACTGAGGTGGATTCAACTTGAGGAAGTACGTACTTAGCGGCCGCTCGAACGGGTTGACAACTATCCAGACGAGCGCCTTCCCTCCGCCTCCAACGAGAGCATCATGCCATGTCACCACTAACAGGGCACGCCTTGCGCGGTTCCACCCAGGATGAGCGTTCGTGAAGAGGTGCTTGGCGTACTTGACGGCCTATGGTGTGTCCACTTCCCCAAGTACTGGTGCAGAGCCTGCCATCTGCGCGCTCAGCCGGATACGCTCGGATGAAGGAGAGTGATAATGCTTCAAACCGTTGCGGTGAAAGCGGACGAGGGATGTAATATCTCTTTGAAAGGGCCGGGGTCAAGGCTCAATTCGACTGGCCCAACTCTGCGCACAAGATACGTACCTCACGACGATGAAAGTGTATATCTTTACGTTCTCTCTTGGCGCTTCACACTGTTGGTTACGACGAGCACCCGCTCTCACCAGATACGCGCAATGACGATCATTCAAGGGGAAAATCCTAGGGGAGAGATAGGGACCCATAGTATGACTCTATTCAATTCCATCAGTCGCCGCAACGCGCAATTGTGTCTTGTAGTACATGCCTGAGGATGCCGACTCTTGATATCGCACCATGCCGCGTGCTCATCAATTGCTAGACTCCGTGGAGGCCCTCTGAGTCTGGGTGGCTTAGGGTTAGGGGGCGGCGTCAGGACATCCATCGAGGATGCAACGCACAGACTGACGGTCGCAAAGTCAAGCCCGGCTGACCGCCTACTAGACCAGTGTACGTAGTGGCAGACGATGAGTCAGTTGCGTCTGTATACGGTGGCTACAGTATCGTGCGGCGAGGCTCCGCGAGGGCTGGCTTAGTACGGACGCGTCGGTGTTTTGAAGCGCGGGACTGATCAGACTCGAGCCCTGTCCGCGGAAGTCAGCGAGAGATCAGATATAGCGATACTCATGCACGTACATTTCTACCCGAAAGCGCGCCCTCGAATTGCCACATCGCTGTATCAGTCAGAGCAGCATGCGATATGACGATGAAGGACACCACCGGGTGCTGACGCGCTCGCGCTTCGAAGTACGGCCGGCCCGATATGTAAAATCTGTGCGCGAGAGTCAGCTAGGTTCTTCGAGTACAACGAGGGGTATACACCTACGATTCCGATCAAAGGGCAGATCCTCGACAGGAAATGACGCTCTGCTACTAGAGGGAGGATGCGAGAGGACATTCAAGTTGCAGGCGTCCAGTCAACGGACACCGCCGCACGACGAGCGTATAGTACGACTTGCGACGATAGCCTATGTCTTCCAGCCCATTCGAGAGGCTCCCATTGGATACCAGACGCGAGCGGGTCTATCAGCTGATGCGGCAAGGGGCAGACCTGGTTCGCTGAACCGCTGGTCCGAAGCAATGGCAACCAGATGAGTGTAGCCTTCGCGATAGAACAGCGTAGTATGTTCATGTATCGTGCTCGTTTTTCGGTCGCACACTGCCACGACAATGGAATACCAGTCAGGAAAGGTTCGGGCCGCTGCTTCCGCGACTCTGCAGTCAAGAGGCAAACGCGGCTTTGAAGCTCGATGTCTAGCAGCCTGGCCGTGGCGCACGCTGTACACCCTCGCCGCGTACGCCCATCCAACAGTGATCGACGCGTACACTCCGTACAGTACGCCATCAACTCAAGACAGCGCACAAGTGACAGAATCGCGAGATCAACCAAGCCCTCTCGACGCACAAATCCGCGCGCTGTGGTTCGACTTTGAACAACGCATCACCCCGCGCATGAACCAGGTGCGCCGTACGGCATCGCCCGTTCTCAGTCATCCGTCCAGTCAGCAGGCCCCTCCTCCTAGTCTCTCGTCTCTCGTCGCGAGGGAGCACAAAGCCGTAAGAAATTGATCGTGATATTCGCGCAGTTGGGCCGTTGGAGGCCCGAGGGAGAAGGCAGGCGGGATGGAGTTTGGAATTGGGAGTTTGGAGTTTGGAGCGCGCGGGGCCGGCGGCAAGGGTTCTCCCGCGCCTCAGGCTCTTGTCAAAGCGCGCCCCGCGGATAGGATGTGGGATACGTTCCCCCTCTGTTCAAGCTCAAGTCGAGCAATTCCAGCATGCATGGTTGGCCGCACGATATACGCATGGCACGACAGACGCACGAGACTGTGGGCCGGGAGCTGAGCGCAAGGATCTCGCCGCGCCGAACCCGGTCGCCGCGTCAAATCCCGCTCGCGTGGCGCCCCATCAAACTTTTGGAATCGTTCGACGCCAGCAGGGCTCGCGAATTTAAATAAGGCTGGCCCGGTCGCTACGGTCTCTTCGTCCTCCTACCACCCCTAGTCTCCCACCACTAGGGTCTCCGCCTCCTCCAGTTCTAAAACTTGAAGGTTCAAGAGGTTTACGAGGTCTAATCTGGTAGAGATGAGTCTGAACGCGACGATGAGCGCCGTGCCGGCGGCGCAGCTGAGCTCGGCCGAGCTGTACGCCCAGGCGGGCGTGGACGTCGCCAGCCTGAACTTCGCGGAGAAGGCGTGGATGAACTGGTACCTCTTCTTCGGCAACGCCGCGCTTGCCACGGGCGTCGCGTCCTTCCTGCTCCACGAGGTACATACTCTCTCTCGCAGTCTGAGTTGAAATGGGCTTGAGGACGGGAGGGCTGATATGTTGGGCGTTGTGCAGATCGTGTACTTCGGGCGGTGCATCCCGTGGATCATCATCGACGCGATCCCGTACTTCCGCAAGTGGAAGATCCAGCAGGAGAAGATCCCGACGCCGGCCGAGCAGTGGGAGTGCACCCGCCACGTCCTCTTCTCCCACTTTACCGTCGAGGCGCCCTTGGTAAGCCCCCCTCTCCTACTTTCTACGTATATGTGATTGGGGAGGCTGATGCGAATGGTATTGTTGGTGTAGATTGTCCTGTTCGACCCGGTCGCGCAGCTGTTCCACATGCGGACATGGCAGGTGCCCTTCCCGACCGTCATGGAGTCGCTCCCGGCCCTCGCGTTCTTTTTCTTCTTCGAGGACATGTTCCACTACTTCAGTATGTCTTCCCCTTCACGTTCTGTCCAACGTCGCGTCTGACGCCGCGCTTTTAGACCACCAGCTCCTGCACACGCCCCTCCTGTACAAGCACATCCACAAGATCCACCACAAATACTCCGCGCCCTTCGGCCTCGCCGCCGAATACGCGCACCCGCTCGAAGTGCTCATCCTCGCAACGGGCACCATCGCCGGGCCCTTGATCTACGCCGCGGCCACGCACTCCCTGCACGTCGTCGTCGTCTACGTCTGGATCACGCTCCGGCTCTTCCAGGCCATCGACGCGCACTCCGGCTACGACTTCCCGTGGTCGCTGCAGCACTTCCTGCCCGTGTGGGCCGGCGCCGAGCACCACGATTTCCACCATATGGCTTTCGTCAATAATTTTTCGAGCAGCTTTAGGTGGTGGGACCGCGTGCTGGGCACGGACGATAAGTACCGCGCGTACACGGCTAAGCATAAGGCTGCGATGCGCGAGGCGCGCAGGAAGGGGTTGACGGCGAAGGAGTGGCAGGAGGTTGAGCGGCGGATGGTCGCGGAGGCGGAGAAGGAGGGCTTTGAGGCGGAGGCGAGGGTTGAGGCGCTCGCTGTTAAGCAGAAGAACGAGTAGAATGTACGATCTGCTCTGGATACTGCGGGGTTGAGGGTTGATGGTGAAGGATACATTACACATACTCATAGACTTGTTCATACCATATTCGACGGGCTACTCTTTGGAAGTCTCCTCTTGCGTGAACGCGAACTCGAACCACCACGCAACAGGCGCTGGGATAAGCGCGGCAAATACGGCCCGGTCACGCGCCCCCGTGTATCGTTCCCATACGCGCGCCTATACAAGCCTCAACTGAGAACACCTTTCTCTGTCTCCCCCTCCCCCCTCCCTTTCTCTCAACTCCAAAGTAAAATGGCGAACTCGCCCTTCCCGTTCGACACGCTCAAAGCGGAGACGCTCCGCGCGATGGTGCGCGACCTCGGCGCAAACAATACGTCCGTCCGCACGCGCGACAAGATGGTCGCGTTCCTCAACGCCGTCGCTGCGCAGGGCCGTGCGTACCCCTCCCCCTCCTCCCCTCCCCCTCCCCCCC